CAGTTAACTTAAGAATTTATGCTGACGAGTTGGCAGACAGAACAGGGATGTAGCCAGGAACATGAACAGATCAAGGTAACCATCTCCTCACCCAACAAACTGTAAGGAAACAAGGAGTGACCACCTAAAAACTTTAGTGTACAAAAAGATGCACATCTGTACATTTATTCCTAGATGTATAGTCTGAGGCTAGGGTCGACATATTACAGTATCAGGTTCATACTTTACTCAACTTCTAACTCTAAGCTGCCCTTCTATGAGCCCACACCCACCCCTATCCATTGCAAAAGGGCAGGAAGGAATCAAAGGACCAAAGAGAATGCAGGCAAAATTCCCTGGGGTGTCAAAGCCAGCCAGAAAGCCTATCAGATTGTTATCAGTTGCAGATGCTCGCATGGGCAGAGACACCAGTCTTAATAAATGGATGCTGAGGACAAAGACTCGTGGGCGCTTGTCTTTTGGACACCTCCTACTCTTCTGTGTAGCTGTCTACCGTCTCTTCCCTCTCTTCTTCAAATAAATCATCTTATTTTAAACTAGATTCCTTCAGTTTTTTGCTGATGCTGAACTTGATGCTTCTGGTGTGTTGCATGCGCCAGCAGAGCAGTGGTACAGTGTACACTTTGACTTAACAGTTCTTTCACCTGGCAATGTCCTATGCTGTTATTACACAGATTGAGTAGATTCCTTTGGTTCATTGATTAATATTCTACACTATGGAAATACCATTTGCTGATTAAATGGCCTTTGAATAACATTCTAGTTGCTTCTCACTTGGGAAATATTCTACTGATTTTCAAAGATTAATAGTGAATATGCACACTCACATTTTATTAGGTGGAATATATCACAGTTTTTGATTATATATACCTACCACTTAATCTCCACCTTAAAAATATAAAATGCCCCTAATCATTCAATATGTACTTTTAAGATGCAATAAGACTTACATTCTTACTAAACAAAAACGTATGAAAATCGATAAACAGACCAGTCAGCTTAAGAAAGTGGAAACACGTGAAGTGACATAAATCAGACATACAAGCTTGGATATTGCATGGTTTCCTATAGAGCAAAATATAGGCTAGGTAACAAGTAGGGAGATGGGTCTTTGTCAGATGAGAAGGAGCCTGAGAGATGGAGGAGGCAGGCAAGTTGGCAATGAAAGGGAGTGGAAGAAAGGCATTGAGATCTGTCATGTCCCTTACCTATGCCACGCAAGAACGTAAATGCTAAGGACTGCAAGTGTGGACTAATAAAAAATGAGAAAAGTAAGAAAAGAAACTGGGAACAGGAATAAGTTAATGGAAAGTGGAAAGAAGGTGAGAGTAAAGCAAATGTAAAAGTTTAAAAATTGGAAAAATGGCAGAAATCATGATTTGAAGAATGTTTTCATATACTTGAAGTAAACTTTATAATGTGTATATGATTTTAGTATACTTGATGAAGAAAAGGACAAACCCTCTCAAGTGTATAACTGGAAAGAAAAGAAGATATATGCTATGTAAATTAGTATAGGCAAAATTAGAAATTTAATAAAGCCAAAATAACTAACATAGCCTTTTGAGTAGAGTTTAAAAATATCTGATAATATTGAAGAATTGGCCTTCTTGAGCTGGTAAGAACTAGCTCAGAACACAACTATAGAATAATTGTATTTAATATTATTTAAAAATATCTTTAAAGCTTTGCTAGCAAACTGACCTCAACAGGTGCCCTCAAGTGGCTACAAAGGACATAAGCATAAGCTTGACAGCAATACCAACCCAGTGCTAAAGTAACTTGTACTTTAAATAGATTAAAGAAGGAAAAATTATGGTTTTAAAAGTTTATCTGAAGGTATTAATTAATAATTACTGACTATTATGGATTAAAAACTGGTAGTCAACTTAACACCAGCTAAATTAAATCAACATGGTGCTGAATGTAGATGGCCCACCTGAGGAAAGTTGCCAGCATAAACAGAGATGTGAAGAAAGAGAAGCTAGGCATTGTGGGTTTCTCTAAGTGTTGCTGTTTTGAGCCATTGGTTCTCCTGGAGGAGCTCATCACAACTAGCTTCCCCAGTGTGAGTTCGACCATTGTCATCTGAGGAGCTCGGGACCTTTTTGGTGAGAGTGGCTGTGGTTCACTTTGGGGGAACTCTGGTCCTTACATCAAGCATTGCTTCCAGATTCCAGAGGGGAATATATGTGCTGTTTAATCTCCAGGAGAAGCTTGTCATACTGGGTTTCTGGCATATACTCAACTGTTCTTATCGTTGGAGGAGCTTGGGACCTCCATGTCACTGAGGATGGCTGTGCTGCTTTTAAGGGAAACCCTGGTTCTTATTTTGAGTGTGACTTCTCAGCTCCAGTAATAGAACCCTCAACCTACCACCACAGCTCTGTCACCCTGGCATAGACTTTCTAGCTTCCACCACTGACCTTTGGGCCTTCCCAATGCTGATCTGTAAAACAGACTGGCACGAGTCCTTCTTGTGGGCTCTAGACTTCCAACTGGACTCATGGGAGACATTGTCATGGGCTCTTGGTTTTCATCTGGACTCATGCAAGACATTGCTGTGGGATCCAGGCTCTTGGCTGAATATTCTGTACCTTCAGCATTTTGGACAGATTTCTTACACTTTCTGTGTTTAACTCTTGGTGACCATCATAAAATAATATAAATTCTGTGTCCTGATTCTAATTATTCTCACAATCCCTGAGTACAACACTGATTGTATTAACTCATAATTTCTAAGTTTTATTGAATATTTACCCTGTGTCAGACACTGTTCCAAGTAGCACCTTGACTTCTCATAATTTCACCCAAAGCAGGTACTGTTACTACAATTAAATGATGTTTTCAGAAAAAGAAACTGACCCGCTTAAATCACTTACTCATTGGCCACTAAGAAATACCAAAACTAGGATATGAACCTAAGAAGTAAGACTCTATAGCTGTATCCTTATTCATTAGTAGATGGGTTCACAGAACTTAGTTCTGACCAAATACAATTATGAAAAATGTAAAGCCAACACTACTACCAGTGAATTCACAAGTTGTTCACTACTAAATAATACAAAAATGAAAAATTAAGAGAGGGAACTTCTAGTTTTCCCTGGATCATAAAGGTGAAGACATATTTTTTTCTTTCCTTTGAATACATTTGTTTGTATTCCACGGGGCTGCAGTAGGACCCCAAGACCCTTCCCCTGGAGCAGAAAGTTTCTCCCTTACCTGGGGGGAAGGGACAGTATTTTGTCACCCAGAGTCACTGTTTTGGCTCTCTGGCTTATAACACAGTCTTGTAGATTTGTGTAGGGTAGCATTTAGTTTGATTGCATTGTCCTGTGCCTGGTAAGAGGCACAGGAGAACTGAAAAGTTATGTGCTATAATATGAATAATAATTAACTTCTCTGCTCTAGAACTCTGCGTGTGTATTAGAAGTAATATTAGAAATGTAACTATTAAAACTTAGCAGCTTTTTTTGGATTCATTCTCCAGCTCTGTTTGTAGCTTTGCTCAGTATCTAGAGCATCAGAGTGGTGCTTCCCAAATAGGGATAGGGTCGTACACAGGGCTTCCTTTGTTTTCTTTTTTTTTCCCTTTATTTTCAACTATGAATTTTTGGGAGATCTAATCAATTGAGAATCTAACTGACTATGAAAAAAGTACATAGAATTTTGAATGAAAAAAAGCAATCTCTAATAGGAGAGAAAACAGTTGAAGTATACATAACACCATGTGCTAATAGCAATTGCTAAGTGTGTTTGGACACTACTTAGCAATTCTAGAATATGTTACTGATATATGCTTGTGAGACACATTGTTCTATATTTTTCCTGTGTTTGACTTTCCTGGTTTTGGTTTTAGGGTCATAGGTGGCCTCAGAAAATAAATAGGGAGGTGTTTCCTCCCTATTGTTTCTGGAAAAAATATGTATAATAGTGTTAATTCCTTCCTTAGATATTTGGTAGAATTTGGTAGCAAAACATATCGACCTGGAGTTTTACTTGAGGAAAGGCTTTAGCCTAATGTATAATGTTTTTTTAGTAGATATAGAATCATTGATGTTATCTATTTCTTCTTGACTGAATTTTAACAATGTGTGTCTTTCAAAGAAAAGTACTTTATGAGGTCTTTTAAAAAGAGAAGTAACTTTAGAATATATTTAGATAGCATGCCTACAAATCTTTACTTTTTCTTCCACAGATTGTTTTAACACTAAATTTAGGAAAACATTTTAGTAGAATTTTTTTTGTAAAATGCTTATGACTGTATTTTAAGGATTTAAGTGGTATCAAAGAGACGTAGTTTTTTCATCACTCAGCTACAGCAGTGGAATTTGCAACTGAAGAATCATCCCAGCCATACATGTATAACAATACTTCTGAAGGTATTATGAATGTATCATGTATTTATTTTCCTCTTAGTCTACCAGATGGGCTGTAATAGAAAAGAAAGGAAAGGAACAACATTGCTTCCATGAGTGAAAAACAAAAGATGAAAAACAACTTTTCTAAAATTTTCCTGTTTGCTTTGCTCTTGGAAAGAGAAGCTGGTTTAATTTAACTCAATTATTTAAGCCACAGGCAGTGGAGACCAAGTTTGTCTTAGCATTTAGTAACTGATAGTTATAATCTTGTTATGCTTTAGTTGGGCAAGCTTGATACATGATTCCTTAACTCATATATCAAAACAGAACATTTTGGTTATGTCTTAACTTCAAAGTGCTCAAAGTTTAAAATTCTCTTACTAGACATACTTACTATTCACCTTTAACCATAGTAAAATAACAACTTGAATTTTCAGGAGCTTGATGGGCTCAGTTAAATTTCTCCCCCATGACTGATTTCATTTTTATTTTAATTTTAAAGCCATGTTGATTTCAGTATACTGTACATACAATAACACTTACTCTATTTAGTATAGAAGAAGTCTTTGGAGTTTTACAAACACCATTGGATTCTTCAGCTAATTTATTGCTACCCCCTAACCGCTCTCCACCTCCTCAGTTTATCACCAGCATTTGTGAAGCCAGACTAAAGGGAAGATTTAGGTCTGGAGACACAGGTGTGATCTTACAACCCCTAATTCTCTCATTGCACCTCCTGTTTTTGTTCTTCTTTACCCAACCCTTTTGAGAATATTTTAAGTAAGTGTGATAGTTCTATATTTATATGAAAAGAAAAAATCTAGCAGCTATATAAAAATGCCAACCACTTCCTTAAAATTTGATTACTAGTCCTAAATCTGTGGGAAAGTTTGTTTGGGGAAAGTTTTTTTTTTCCTCCTATTTTCTTATTATGGTGATATTTTCCTGTATGATCTTTTGCTTCTCTTTACAAAGACTTACATAATTTCTGCCCAATTGTTTTCTGAAGGACCATTTTCTTTTTTCTTACTGCGTGCTTCCTTCCTTCCTTCCTTCCTTCCTTCCTTCCTTCCTTCCTTTCTTCCTTCTCTCTCTCTCTCTCTCTCTCGTTCTTGTTTTTAGGGGTAGGGCTCTCATTATGTTGTTCTGATACTTTGAACCTACAATCTTTCAGCCTTTACCTCCCTAATAGCTGAGATTTGAAGCTTGTACCATGACACCTACCTATTCTGCGAACCTTTCTTAATAATTCTCTCAAATATTATCTCAAAGGTCTCTCTTTTTGTACCATGTTCCTTATAGTTCTCTAGAGAATAGCAAAATCACACACACATGCACACACACACGCACACACACACGCACCCAAACACACGCATGCACATACATGCACTCTCACACACACACACACACACACACACACACACACACTTTCAGAGGAGGAATAATAAATGTCTCATGTAATGAATATTTTGTATTTGTATCTTAAACTAAATCTATGGAATTGCTGTTTCAAAGAGGACTATGATTTTCAAAACATAATTCTAAATTTGTTCTCCTGAATCAACTATTAATTTCCCAGCAGTGTATATGAGCAAAAATTTTTCTCTGCTTTTTTGTATTTCTTTGCTTCATGTTTGCAACTTTCATGCTTAACACAGTTCTAATTTTTAGTAGCTTTAGGAAAAATATTTGCCAAACCAATATGATCTGAAAGTGTCCTTGCCAGGCTGGGGTTGCATTTGGGGCAGGAGAAGATTTTTTCTAAAAATGATACTGTTGCGTCATTCAATGCACTAGCGTTTCTCATAAACAAACAGTCACCACCAAAGCTCTGTTCTCTTCCCCAAAGATTTTGAACAAAAACATAAATGCTGTCAGGACATTATGATACTTTGTAGATACTTTGAGCAGTATAGGGACATACGGTAGTATATGGATTCATGAAGGCGTTTGGTTTTGCAGTGTGAATTGAACCCAGGGCCTTCACACTGAGCTACATCTCCAACCTTGCTTTTTATTTTGAGATTTTTTTTAAAGTTTCAGACAAGCTTTCACTGTGTTACTAAGCTGCCAGGTTGCCCAGGCTGGTCTTTAACTTTCACCTCTCGTGCCTCAGCCCCCAAGAGGGCAAGGCTCTCAGTTTTGCCTGCTGATATGGTCAACGGAATTCTCTAGGATGAGGCTTCTGGCAAGTGAGACTAGATAGCAATTCTAAATCCACAGAGATGGCTGGGTTATCTCTGATGAAATGTGACAGTTTTATTGCATGGAGAAAACAATTATAGATTTAAAAATTCAACCATGATTCTGACTTCAGTTGCAGGATTTTATACAGCATATAAAATAAAGAATTGATTCAAATGTCATGCAAATTGGGGACTCCAAATGATTTTGTTCAGATCACTGAGAAAAATTCATGTGAATGAAGGTTTTTAGTGCCAGTTTATTAGACACATACTTCATTGTTTAAATTGTGCATCTGGGTTCACAAACCACAGTATTTTAAAGTATAATGGCCATACCTAATGGGTGGTTTAATAGGCAAAGGCAGTTTCAGGAAAAGTCCAGTGTTTCAAAGAAAATCTGAGAACTAAGGTGAAACAGATTTTAAGCTTCTAAAATCTCTTTATTTCAGTAGCTTTAGCCAAAAAGGAGAATAAAAACTCTGAGGTTAAAAGCAATAAGACTGTCTTTAATGTTCCACCTTCTAGGTATGGTTGCTTCTCTGTTTAGTTTGATAACAGAAATCATCTTTGGTTTTACTAATGCCAGAAACTTAACAGGAATTTCCTTTTAGAGTCTCCTAATCTCATTTTTGTGCATTTTTCTGTACATTGCTTGTTGAGAACGGTTATCCTTCTTTTTTGTAGCCAGGTAACTTCCCGTAAGTGCTTTTATAAGCAAGGCTATTCTCTGAGTCTTTTGCAGTGACAACCCATCAAAAAGAGACTGATGACAAGCCAATACTTAACACTATAAAAAACTCAAGGAACCATGACCCTCCAGGGAAATACCCTCCTATCTGAACTCCAGTAAACTCATTTTGTATTTTATTCAAATTATAAACTCCCAGGCAGAAACTGTCACATTTGAAGAGCACATTTCAAAATAAATGAGAAATATGCAAGAATATCTTATGTTTATTATTTTCAGTAATATGAATTATCTTATACATCATTTAGATTTTGTTTCTAAGAAGCATTGGTTCTACCTAGCACATTTTGATGTCTTCAGATTTTTTATTAATTACTTCATCTAAGCTCTACAGTACATGCATAGGAATGAAAATCAAACAGCACGGAAGACTGGTTATAGGAAAAAAAAGATACTGAAAGTATCCATTCTCATAGAGGCTTACCTCCTTGGTCAGCAACTATAACAGGTTTCCTCCTCCATATAGTTTAGTTTTGCCACTTTTTCTCATCAACCATAGGCATCATCTGTCCAACTCTTGGGTATTAGATTTAGTTCATTTTCCAATCCCTCCAAATACGTCTTCCCTGAGTAACTTCTATTTTAGTTCTTCAGTTGTCTGCACGATCAATAATATATGTGTGTACTATGCTTAACTCTAATCTTTTGTTTCATTAACTATTAGTATCTGTTGACTCTTTAGTTTTTCAGACAAGAAAATTAGTTCCCTTATCTGTTCTTTTTCCTCTCTTTTCATCCTCTCACTTTTCAATCAACTCAGATGTGCCATTCCAGTTTTACATTGCAATTGCAAATTTGAAAACATCTGCTATCTGTTCTACAGCTACAATCAATATTTTTGTGTCTTACAATTGCTTAATTCTTAAAAGCTGAAAGCTGCTGACATTTGTATTATTTCAGCTCTGAGAATATTCCTTGTTGCAAAGCCAAGTCATGTGTTAGGATTTCTTTTCTTTCTGTATGGTTTCAAATCATGACTTCCATTTTTCTAAAAAGATAATGGTACTAACTATGATTCTACATCAGGGTTTGCCACATACAATATTTGGACTTTGCTAACTATACAGTCCCTCTTGATTCCATGGATCTTCTTGCAAGTTTATCCTTCTGTTTTCTAACTAGGAAAAGTGCTAATATTTTTCTTCCAAAACCTCAGATCTTCAGCTTCTTGTTTATTCTGGTTAATAATTAAAATCCATTCTATTTTCTTGAAACTCACTAATTTCCTTTTAGAATATTTCAAACCTTATTTTAGTGTCTGGATTTTTCATAGTTGAGTCTTTTCTACAGTTCTCTGTCTTATCCATATGTCCAGGCTCTTCCTGGTTATCATTCATGCTGTGTCATCTGTGTCTTGCATCCTGACAGATCTCCCTACCCATGTCCTCCACTCTCTGGTTTATGTTTTACACAGGCTGATTGCTTCCAGCTGCTATTCGGTTCTTCACTATTCTGATTTGCCTCCTCTGCTTCCTGAGTTTATCTTTTCTTTTGACAATTAACTTTTCATTTCTGAAAAGACTTCTCATGTAACTCACTAAGGAGAAATGTTGTTGTATTGCCTTGGAAAATATGTTTATTCCACACTTGCACTGAACTGATGATTGACAGCAAAAGGGGCTTAAAGCTGGAAGTGTCCTCTCTCAGAATGTGGATGGTGGACCACTCTCACCCAGATGCCATCTGCAAGGGCAATATGGACAAGGAGTCTGTACCCAGAGACTTTCAGCCATCTTGAAACCCTTGGTGAGGCTCTTGGGGGCTAGGAAGCTGTGTGCAGGGGCCTGTCCAGACCCAGACACCATCTTTGAGGCCCATGGGGACTGGGAGACTATGCCCAGTGACCTGCAGTTATCTGGAATCCTTGATGAGTCCTGCAAAGGCTGCAAAGCTGTACCCAGTGATGTGTCCACATCAAAGAACCCTCAGTGAGACTTCAAGGGGCTGGTAAGCTGCCCCTCGTGGTTCATTCACACCCAGGAACCCTCCATGAGGCTTATAGGAACTGGGAAACTGTGCCCAGTGACCTGCCCACATATAGGAGCCATCTCAGAGGCCCACAGAGACTGGGAGCCTGTGTGCAGTGATTCACAGTCATCTGAGAACCCTCAGTGAGGCCTGCTAAGAGTGGGAGTCTGGGCCCAAAAGCCCATCCACACTTGGGAGCCACCTTTGAGGCCTATGGGGACTAGAAACCTGTACCTATCAACCTGCAGTTATCTGGGAACCCTCAGTGAGGCCCACTGTGAGGGTCAAAATGTCTGCCCAGTGACCCAGGAACATCAGCAACCCTCAGTGAGGTCCACTGCTGGACAACCTACCAGAATGGGAAGCAACTTGGACTTGGCGTTTGGCTGATTCAGAGGAACTCAGGAAGATGCCAAAGTGAAAGAACAAAATGCAACCTCAAACTTCCAGTTCATCCAGATAAAGTCCAGGAGACATAAACAAGAATGAATTTGGAAATCACATAGCTGAAATCTCTGAAATGATATCAAGGGCAGTAAAGAAACAAATCCAGGAAAATGTAAAGGAAATCAGATCATAAATAGTCAGTTAAAAACAAATATGATAAACATAGGGAAAAATTTGGTGATTATATCCAAAAAAGATATAGATAAAAAAAAATAGAGGAGCATTGGAAAGTGATCGAAATCTTGAATGAACAATACAAGAAACAATTAAAATACATGAAACAGATTCAAGGAGATATTTAGGAAATCAAAAATTCCATTAAAAGTTGACAGAACTACATGACTGAAACCGAAGACAGACTCTCAGACCTTGAAGACATGACTGCAACTAGTGACCATGAAAGGAAACAGTTCTTAAAAATAACAAGGAATC